GGTTTTCATATAAAAAATGAGCTATAAGTCCTATTTATCTAAATTATTTTAAATTTTATTGTAATTAAGTTGAGTAAAAAAGAATTAAATATTGTATAAAATAATTTTCATAAATTTCCGGGATAGGATCTCCTTTAAATTTCTTGAATTTACATGAAACCAATCAAAATACCTTCCCGGAGTTGTTAGTTTAGATTGTCAATGAATTAGAAATGGGCGGGCTGCAAATTACAAAGCTGCAATTCATACTGAGAACGAACTGAGACCCATCCCGCGCTTCTCTCTCTCTCTCTCCCACTCTCGCTCTTCTCCAGGTACCTTCTCTGCTCTAACCTTTTTCTTTTCTTTCAATCAAAATGCGAATCTCGTATTTGCTTGTTTCCTTTTAACTTTCTTGATCGAACAGCAATCTTCATCTGCTTGGGTTTTGGGTTTCTTGCAGCAATTCAGAATGACCCATTTTCCTTGATCTTTAATGCTTTCTTTTCTATCATCTTTTGGAGGAAATGAACCGACTCTTTTGAGATTTCTTCGACGTTTATTCCTTGACAAAGTATTGAGTTCTGGGTTAATCCTTCTTGACATTTTTCTTCCTTCTGGATAATCTAACTTCATTTCTTTGGTTACTCCTCTGAGCTTTCTTGGCGGTTAAACGATTCTGTTTCAGTCTTTTGGAACAATACATATGGATCTTTACTTTTAGACAAGTTAAGTATGGACATATATTCTAATGTGAATGCTTGTTGTGTTTAGTCGGCGATTGTTCATCTTCCGACTAATAAGTGCTAATGTTTTATGTTTTTATACACTCTGGATGATTGCTTCTTCCGAGTCTATTGACTTGGTTTTGCTATTACTAAACTCATGTGACTTATCTCAAGTTTTTTCATTGTTTTCTTTAGCAAATAAGGTGAATTCTTGATGTTAAATTTCTGTTTATTGTGCGTTTTTCAAGACCCAGGATCCCTCTTATCTGAAAGCTTGCATCTTTCCTTTCAGATTTTTCTTTTGTCTGAGCAGATTGGCTATAGAGACTGAAAGTTGCTGTCCATACACAAGTAATGAAGGCAAATCTTTTTTGGGACACTATTGAACAATATGAGAAAATCTTATGGGTAACCCTAGTTGTAGACTTTCATATATTCTAAATTGCTCCCCGCGGTTTTCAAGTGTTACACAAGAGCAGTCAAGATAAGTTGATTATCAGATGTCAAGCATAATGAAAAATCAAGTTTTTTCGTTGTTTTGTTTAGCAAATAAGGTGAATTCTTGATGTTAAATTTCTGTTTATTGTGCGTTTTTCAAAACCCAGGATCCCTCTTATCTGAAAGCTTGCATCTTTCCTTTCAGATTTTTCTTTTGTCTGAGCAGATTGGTTATAGAGACTGAAAGTTGCTGTCCATATACAAGTAATGAAGGCAAAACTTTTTTGGGACATTATTGAACAATATGAGAAAATCTTATGGGTAACCCTAGTTGTAGACTTTCATATATTTTAAATTGCTCCCCTTGGTTTTCAAGTGTTACACAAGAGCAGTCAAGATAAGTTGATTATCAGATGGCAAGCATAATGAAAAATCAGTAAATCCTGGATCCTTTCCTCTTCCTTACAATGGCCTTAGTGATCCATTTATGCCCTTGTGTCACTAACTGGATGATTTGAATGGCAGAAACTTGGGTATTCAGAATACTTCAAATAAGGAAAAGAAGAAAATGAAGAGAACTGGAAAGGAGAGAAAGCCAGCAAAAGGAGCCCCTAATCATCTGACTCATACAACACAATCAAAATTTCAGGCAGCTAATGCAATGCAATCCTGTCAGATAACAAAGGAGGATATCCCAACAAGTGGTAAAGCTAACACTAGCATTAACCATTCAAATACAGGCATTCAAGGGGAAGAAGATACAAAAGGTACTGGCAATGCAAATTCTAGAACCAGTGGTCAGTTTCATAGTGTACAAAATGCTGAGTCTATACCATCAACTAATGATTTAGAAAGCAAAAACTCAAGATCTCAGCATATTGCAGTGAACAAGACTAGCAACGAGACCTACATATGGAAAGGGAAGGAGAGCGATCACCTGGCGGAGCAAACGAGTCAGAGGA